GAAAAAAAATAAAAAAAAAATAGCTTTAAAGTCTTGTCAACTATAAATGATTGAAAAACAAGCCTTTCTTTACTTTCCCCTGTGGTTTATCTGTTGAGGAAATAGGGATTTTGTTGAATCCGTTTCTTTATTTTTGTTTACGTTTTTATTTTGATTCTAGTGAGTTAACATACAATGTTATATTAATTTCAGGTGTACAATATAGGAATTCAACAGTTCCACACATCACCCTGTGCCCATCAAGACAACTGCACTTCTTAATCTCCATCTCTTATTTAACCCATCCCCCCACTCCCCTCCCCTCTGGTAACCATCAGTATGTTTTCTGTAATTAAGAATTTGTTTATTTCTCTCTCACTTGCTCTCTCTCTGTCTCTGTCTCTCTCTCTCTCATTTTTGTTCCCTTTTGCTTATTTGTTTCTTAAATTCCACATATGAGTGAAATCATATAGTATTTGTTTTTCTCCGACTGAATTATTTTATGTAGCAATATACTCTCTAGATCCATCCATGCCATGTCAAATGACAAGATTTAATTCCTTCTTATGGCTGGATAATATTCCTTTGTGTGTGTGTATGTGTGTGTGTGTGTGTGTGTGTGTATACACCACATCTTGTTTATTCATTAATCACTGGGCATTTGGGCCCCTTCCATATCTTGGCCATTGTAAATAATGTTGCTATAAACCCAGGAGTGCATGCTTCCCTTGAATTAGTGTTCTTGTATTCTTTGGGTAATTACCCAGTAGTGTGACTGCTGGATCCTAAGGTAGTTCCATTTTTAATGTTTTAAGGAACCTCCATACTGTCTTCCACACTGGCTGTACCAGTTTGCATTCCCACGAACAGTCCTTGAGGGTTCCTTTTTCTTCACATTCTCACCAATGCTGGTTGTTTCTTGTGTTATGGATGTTAGCCATTGTATGTGAGGTGATATCTCATCGGGGTTTTGATCTGTATTTCTTTGATAATGGGTGATGTTGAGCTTCTTTTCATGTATCTGCTGGCCATCTGTATGCTTTCTTTGGAGAAATGTCTGTTCATGTCTTCTGCCCATTTTTTAATTGACGTTGTTGAATCCATTTCTTTAATAGACTTAAGCATATACCTTTGACTTCTGTATCTCTTGTAAATTGAGAGTTACATCTACAGGCTTAATCAGATTCAGTATTCATTATTTGCTTGATTGTTTTTGATAATACTTATCTATAAGTGAGGGTCTGTTCCTCCATCCAGGGGTTTACAATTGATCTCTTCCCATGAGAAATATATGTCATACAAAGAAACTGTTACCATTGTATCAGTTACCACGTGGGACAGAAAAGGTGGTATACTTCAGACATATGTGAACAAAGGTTCCTCACAAATATGTCATAGACACAGAAGAAATTGAGAGCAGTCAGGTGCAGATAATGGGGAAAGCATATTAGATGGTAGTGTTCATTACTAAAATGTTTCTAGCTAAACCAAGAATCAGAAAGAAAATTCTGATTATTATAGCCAGTTGTATTCTAGTACTTCCGAGGAAAAGTAAGAACCGTTATGAAAGCAGGATGCGAAGAGATGATTGTAACAAAACATAGCAGAAAAGATCTTGAAGTCATGACCATGAACATTTCACCAAGGACAGCAGGACACATAATGATTTTCCAACTAATCAATCAACAAGTTACCTTTATGTGTAAAGCAGTAAGACCACAGCTCTCATGAAAAGTAGTCATTTGTTCCTGCTTGCCCAGAATTTACAGAAAAGAAAGAAAACTAAAGTGCAGGACAATACCTCATGAGATTATACATAAGGAGTTTGTGGCAGAGGGGTCACTGTTATCTGGTATGGTTAGGATGAATATTATAGAGGAGGGGGTGAAGGGCACACTTTAAGGGGTTATTAGAATGAAGCTAGAAGGACTTGAGTGGGTGGAATATTCCAAAAAACATAAATTGTAAATAAAAACAAGTATTTAAGAATCAGCACAGTATGTTTAAGGAAAAGGGTAAATCAGCATCTTTAAAAAAAACCATGTACCGTGTTTACATACATCTATGGCACGTCAGGTAGATCTAGAGTGAGGACTCATGTCACCTTGTTCTTGGTTTAGGTTAAACATGAGATGCCTTAGACAAGCCATATAACTCCATTAAATTGAAATTACCTATAAAAGAGAGCCTCAGTCTATATTAGAAGTTTCCTAATTTCTGGGACAAGTCAAGTTTTGAATGTTGAACAAGTTAATTTCTTGTAAGATCAAAACCAAAATCAACGAAGTAACAACAACCTGCCATCTGCTATCAGAATTATTTTTTTAAGAAGGTATATTTGAAATGGAGGCAGATGCTAGTCTCAGAAATGTGTGTGTATGTGTTTGTGTATATGTGGGTGTGGGTGTGTAATTTACATTAAAAACAAACTCAGTTGCACTTATTTTTGTCGAATTTTGTTTGATGTAGACTGGTAGGAATCTCATTGTAGTGTCTCTCTGATCAGCATTTGGGAATCATAGACAAGCTGTTACTTAATGGTCCTTTCCTTTGTGACATTTTAAGAAATCATAACTGGGATAATGTCCCCATTGTACTCTGCCTTTAGTTGTTGAGCAAGTTCAATGCCCTGTCTAGACCTTAAATGTACAACATGTGATTGCATCTGACATCAGAATAGTTCTGGGGTGCCTGCGTGGCTCAGTCTGTTGAGCATCAGACTTCAGCTCAGGTCATGATCCCCGGTTCATGGGTTTGAGCCCCATGTCAGGCTCTGGGCTGACAGCTCCCTCTCTCTCTGCCCCTCCCCTCTTTCTCTTCCTTTCAAAACTAAATAAACATTAAAAAAAATTTTTTTTTTAAAAATAGCTCTTGTTGGGGATACAGGAAAATTGTGTTCTAGTCTGCACTTTGACCCTCTTATGTGAGTTGTTCACGGCATGAAGCCTTTTCTAAAAATCATCTGGAAAAGTAAAATCACCCTACAGCCTTACCTATCTTGCCAGATTGATGTAAGTTAAATAAGATAACATATTTTCAGTTTTTATAAAGTATAAAACGACATCAGTAGAAAGCTTTAATAAAAATACTGATCTATAAAATCCTCCAAATAGATATAAATTTACTAGTAGCTCAGAGTAGATGGTAGGGTTATGATTTTAATCGAGAAAATGAATTTCTAAGCACTAAAATGCAAAAATCACAAGCCTGAAGATTTTTTGACATTAAATCTTCAGAAAAATGACGTATGTAATTCACCTCAAGCAGTTTCTAAAATTCCAGGACAAAATAATCAAAATTGTTAGCCAAGTAGATATATCATTTTTTCCTCTCCACATCTGACATTTATCTGCACTTTGGCATTAAACAAATGTTAAAAGAGTCACTAGGATTTAAGTTCAATAATACATAAACGTAAGCATAAGTGGAGATTAAAACTTTGACAGAGAAGCCCACAGACTAATAATGAAATGTAGATGGGAACTTTTTTCCAAAGGAAAGGAAATGTGTCTTTTCTTGGTTGGAGAACACTAATTATCAATGATTTGACAGAAGCCTACCACTCCTAATTGCATGAAATTATCAATCTGACATTTCTGAAAATGGCAGCAATCATGACTGCATAGAGCAGTTAAATATCCTCCTACAAGATAGCTGTTCATCGCTGAAAACACTTCACTCTTGTTACTTCTCTGTGAACTGTTTCTGTAGTGAGTTCTTGGAATAATATTTATACATGTTTAGCATTGCCTGCATTTCGCTATTTAAATTTATAATGATAGTTGATCTCTGATAATGTGACAATGTAAGTAAAAAATTATTTGCAGAGAACTTAGAAGGTAGGTGATTTCAGGAATATTCTCTGCAATTTTCATGGAAGACACGAATATAGCACTATGACTGCAATGGTAAGTCCACAGTCTGTACTTCCGTAAAATTCAAAATTGGAAAGATACCTTTGCAACATAGCAGTTGTAGTCCCTGTAGAAATTTTCTTTGTAATTGAAAACATTGAATTATATGTTCTGTGGAGATGTGGACAATTTCTGTCTTGTTCCTGCTGTGTCCCCCGGGCCTAATAAATTGATGGTGTCTAGGAAGTATTCCGTAAAGCTTTGTTGAATGAATGAAAGAATTCAAGTTTCAGATATGATGGAGAGGTTAAACAACTTTTCTGATTTATGTGATACAACCTAAAATATAGAAATGATCACATGAATTTGAATCAATAGAATATCAAATTTTTGCTTAACGACCTACACCAATATGAAACAAAGCCAATGGAAGAGAGAGAGGCATTTTAATTTTTTTAATCTTAATTATTTTTGAGACACACAGAGAGAGACAGAGTGTGAGCGGGGGAGGAGCAGAGAGAGAGGGAGACACAGAATTCAAAGCAGGCTCTAGGCTCTGAGCTGTCAGCACAGAGCCTGATGCAGGGCTCAAACTCCCAAACCACGCGAGATTGACGCTTAACCAACTGAGCCACCAGACGCCCCAAGAGAGGCATTTTAAATGTAGATCTGTGGCAATGTCATGTTAGGTCTAAAGGATCTTTGATGATTTGGCTGAAGCTCTTCTCTACTCATGGTATATTTATGTAGAAAGTATAGATTTAGAGGTCGCTTGCACTTAACGTTTATCAAAGGAATTGATTGTTAAAACAAGAACAGTGAGGTAAAACAATGTGCACTGAGAAATTTGAGCCACTCTTACAAAATATAAATTTTACTTTTATTCAGAAAAGTAACTACATGGGGAAGATGATGTGTTTATTTATACTTGAATATACATATATGTAACCTTTATATATATGTATCCTTTGTATACATCCTTTGACTTCTTTGGGAAAAATAAAGCAGATATTTTAAACTACAATCGGTATAATTCCTAGAAGAAGAAAATTATGGTACTGGTAAAATTTTCATTGTAACACTGATTTCTTTGCAAACACATCCTTTGTGATTCTGTAGTCATGTGCCCCTTTTACTGACTATACATCACTTTTACTCTCACGCAAGGTTTGGAAAAAGTGCCAAAAGAGCTCCCTCCTGACACTACGCTGCTGGACTTGCAAAACAACAAAATAACCGAAATCAAAGATGGAGACTTCAAGAACCTGAAGAACCTTCATGTAAGGATTCTTTGTGTATTTGTTTGTTGGTTGGTTTGTGAGTTGTAACAAGATCTGACTCGGAAGATTTTTCAAAACAAAACTCAGGTAAGGCCTGGAGTACTATATGGTAATAAATCAACACATAAGTGTTGATTAAACTCTCTGTTTAGGGAGCGATAGGGGAGCAAAGCGTCGTATTCATTAACCCCTAAAAGTCAGCCAGTTTTCTTGCATATACCCCATATATCTTTAGTATTTGCTTCCTAAAAATATATATCTTAATCTTCTCTTATGTTTCATGAATAAAAGTCTTTATCTCCCCAGTTAGATAGTATTTCATTAGGCGAACAAGATGGACTACTGATCTTAGCATTCATTTATTTCTTTTTGTTTTCTTTCATTCATTTTCTAAGAGGTGCAAGTGTTTTAAAGGCTCAAAGATTGGCACCAATAGAAAAAGGGATAAACATCCATGTTTTACTTAGTAAATATAATTCTATCTCCAGACATCTGTATCTATATATCTAGATCTTGCTTTGTATGCAGGAGTATGCATGCTTCATTCTTATCTGTATCTGTGCTTTTATTGTCATTATTATAGTGTCACACATCCAGTGTACCGGATAGGATTCCAGCAGAAAATTAATGGCACTCTCAAAAGGGTTCACAGAGAAGGCTTTACTGAAGGGACTATTTACAAAGGGATATAGGAGCCAACAAAGCGTTATGAAGTATGCAAGCCCACCTTGAGAGAAGTGGGGAACTGTATTCTCACCTCCTGATTTCCTGTCAGTGTCTCCTATGGATGAACCTAATGAGAGGTCAGAGGTTAGGGTCATCTGGGTTAGGCAGTTTCCAAGTTCACTTCCCAGGACATAGAGGAAGGCCACAAAGAACAAAGAATGAGTATAACTGTAGTTGGGAGAAAGTATGTTATAAATGGAGAATGACCAACCCAATCAAATAGGGTTAAGTATTGCTAAGGCAGCCTTCTGTAAGAGAAAGTGCATTGCCTTTTCAGGTAGGTCATCAGAATCCCTATGAATTGTATTTTTAGTCCAGCTCTTTACCTGTGGGATGAGTAGAATGTAGTCTCCCCTCAGAATATCATTGCACGTTTATTATAAAGAAGCTGGGTTTCAATGTCCATAATAAATGCCAAACACCTCACTGTAGGCCCCTCTTGAAGTATTGAGTCTGGTCCTGGGCAAGACATTTTTAGAAGGACATTAACCTTTAAGTATCTTCAGAATGATCATCATGGGGATAAAGAATCTGGAAATCATCTCTTATAGGCACAGTTGACAGAGATGTGGATATCTAAATTGAATGAAAAAAGGTCACGAGTGACATATATGAAGGGCCATATTGGAGAAGAGAAATTGAATTTACTTACTTCAACTACAAAGTGACAGAATTGTCCTATTGGCAACTGAGTGGAAATTTCAGGGGAGCAGAGTTTTGCTTAACATTAAAAATGCAATGTAAAGCATTAGAATTTTCAGAAAAAAAAGGGAGAGAATTGCATAGTTATGAGATGTAGAGATAATGTTATGGGTACTAAGAAAGAGTCAAATCAGACATATCCTACATCAGGTTACCAGTTAGTGTTTGAGAGAATATTGGACAAAGGATCTAGAGGGTTAGCAGAATTTTGAAAGGAAGAGAAGAAAAGAGGGTTTTCTGTGTGAAAGGACAGGCAAGGCAAAGAAAATAAGCAGATACAGGAGTTGGCTGGAGGGAAAGATAAAGGCTGCAAAGAGTGAAGATAAGGCATGAGCTAGAGATCTCAAATCTTGAAGCAATGGGATCCATTTCTACTGATAAGATACGGACCTGAGCCCCAACTCACGTTTTCTCCGCCTTCATGGTATGTTTTCACTCGGAGTGAGCTGAGGGTGATACCAACACAGTTTGCCAATGACTCTTCAAACTGTCACTGAATATGTTAGAAGATTAAGAAAAATTTAATGTTATTTCCAATGAGCTAAAATTTAAAGGCTTCATTTTATTTTTATAACTTCACCCTAAAGGGACTTTTTTAAGGAAGGAGAATTCTCTTACTCTAATCTCAAATTACTGTATGTTTAAGTATAATCTGAATAATTTGTTTGACCTCCTTATAGCCTTAAATAAGAGATATCTAGTTTCTGTGACACTCTCATTAGATCTGGCATTTGTAATAAGATGTTCTTTCTTTTCCACGTCTCCTTCTCAGTATGTTTGAGGCAACTACTATCTTGGAATCTCTTTCCTTCTACTTCAAAGTATACATTGAAGAGAGGAAGAGTTTATTAGAGCTTCCAACTGTTCAGGGAATGTTAACCAGCGATTTTTCTCTTACTCTTTCATTCATGATCATTTCTAAACTTGTTATTTTGCAAATAAACGCTATAATTTCAGCCAGGAAAGGCACGCTTGAATGAGAAGGAAGAAGAGAAATGAAAATTTAGCAAAGATTAAAATAGAAAGGATTTAACAGAAAGCTTCCTTTTTTCTCAATAATTTGATCAATTTAAACTCTGTGTCTCATAATGAGTAGTATATGCTGTGCAAGAGTAGTTTTATACTTATAGAAATGTAATATAATACTTTTCTATGTAATAGAAAAAACATAATTATTCTGTGAAATAATGGAAAATTAAGTATTACAATGCCAACTTTTCATATATTTCCTTTGAATAAATGCTTAATAAATCTAGTAAGGAAGTTCTTTTTAATTCAAAATAAAAAATTGTCAAAAGTTTCATAATAATGAACATTTGTGTATCAATTACTACATACTAGGCTTAATACCTATATACAGTCACTTATGTAATTCTTACAACTCTTCTTATGAGGTAGACACTCTTGATAACTCCCTTATACAGATGAGGGCACTCAGGTACAGAGAGGTTACTTATTCAGTTACTTGTCCCTAGTCACACAGCAAACAAGAGCCAAATCTTGAGATCTAAACTTGAGAGCATTCTGAATTGACTCTGTACATTTATTGCCTATAAATATGATAGTAACCATACAGTCCCTTAAAATGATACCTGGTACAGTGTAAACCTGCATTAGTGGTTTTGGGGAAATAATACGAAGTCAGGCTTTAACATTTTTTTGTTTCAGTTGTGTTGAAATATAATTGACACACAGCACTGTATAAGTTTAAGGTATACAGCATAATGACTTCATATATTGCAAAGTGATCACCACAATAAGTTTAGTTAATATCCTTCATCTTGGACAATATGTGTGTGTGTGTGTGTGTGTGTGTGAAAAGAAAAAAATGTATTTTTTCTTGTGACCTTGCGAGGAGACCTTTTAAGACTTACTCTCATAGCACCCTTCAAATATACCATACCCCAATGTTGGCTGCAGTCATAATGTTGTACCTTACATCCCAGCCCTCATTTAACTGGAAGTTTGTAACTTTCGATCACCTTCTTGGATGAAGGTGGTGAAAATGCTTTTATTCTTTCTTCCACTCCATTTCCATTGCCTGTTTTCTTTTCATCACCTCTCCCATACCTCCCAGGCTAGATCCCTTTTTATTTAGTTACCAAGGAAAGGAAGTAGGTTGTGCTGATTTTTGAGGCTATGCTTCGATTTTAGTTTATGTGATGCTCAAGTCATTTCCTGCCCGCAAGCAGCAAGTTCTCTTCTCCTCTGACTTCTCTCACCTCTTAGCAAAGTCTTGATGAGTCGATTCTACTTGTCTTTCTCTTTTCTCTCTTTTTCTTCCTTCCTTCTTTCCTTCCTTTCTTTCTTCTTTCTTTCTTTCTTTCTTTCTTTCTTTCTTTCTTTCTTTCTTTCTTTTTTCTTTCTGTTTTCACTCTTGTTTGCATTTATCTTTTGCAGAATTGACTCCGGGCCATAAGTTTTTGTTTCTTCAGTTTCTTTTGTGATATCTTTTTGTTCTGTGCATCCTCCTCTTCTGATTTAAGAGGAATCTGCTCTTTTACAGTAAGGATTATCTCAGGTAGGGGTTAATCCAACCATAAGCCCTATAAGTTTAACTCCTGCATCTTGGTTTTGTTCACTTGGATGTGCTCAATGACCAGAGAATCTACATCTAAACCTTTAAGTTCAGCTCTACTTTCTGCATTTTTTAAGCATATTCAGTAAAAACTCGGCACTCTTTCTGAGCCACCTGTGTCCAGCTTCACTCTCTGGCCTGGGCACAGCTACCAACTCCACGATTGTAGTGACAGGATGGCACATGTGGCTTCTGCAAAGTGACATCCTTCAGATAATCGGTGGCTTTTCCTTGATGTCCTGGGAAATCTCACGTGCGTTTTTAAAGTGAACACAAAGAGGGGCGCCTGGGTGGCGCAGTCGGTTAAGCGTCCGACTTCAGCCAGGTCACGATCTCGCGGTTCGTGAGTTCGAGCCCCGCGTCAGGCTCTGGGCTGATGGCTCAGAGCCTGGAGCCTGTTTCCAATTCTGTGTCTCCCTCTCTCTCTGCCCCTCCCCCGTTCATGCTCTGTCTCTCTCTGTCCCAAAAATAAATAAACGTTAAAGTGAACACAAAGATTTGATTGTCTTGACTTGCATGATTTGGTAGGATTTTCTGGATCAAGTGAGAGGTGAACCATTTCCAGAGATCATCTCAGGCTGTTTATGGGAAGAGGTTCCTTCTTTTCATTAGCTGATCTCCTGATGACTACCTGAGGTTCACCTTTGTCTCTTTCTCTGCTTTTGCTGGCCTTTGGCGTTAGCCAATGTAATTAGTTTATTCCTATCTTACAATCTTGTCATTGCCTGTTATTTTATGAGTGTGCTTTCTTAAATAGGTATCAGTGTGCATGGAACTAACATCAACCACCTTTACCAATACTGTATATACACAAATAACTTCGTTTTCGCTTGTGGATCTGTTTTATGTGAAGTTCTAGCTCATATAGCTCTTAAAATTTTACCTCATTATGACCGAAATTTGCATAGCTTATATTTATTTTTCAAATGTATTTTAATTTGAAAGCAGGTGTGATTTCCACTGGATTAAAACATTCAACCAGCAATGCCATTTGAAAAGTGCTTTGCAAAGAAGTCCATATGCATCACTGTGCTTTGACTCTCACAATAACCCCCTGTAGGTGCTATTATTATTCCCAGTGTACTGAAGAAATAATTGGGGCAAGTGTCATAGTGCCACTAAAACTTAACCGCGGATAGTACTATGGAGTGCTCACAGGTAGAGGTGTTATTTAGTTATTACCTAGTGAACAAAGTAATATTTTATTGGCTGAAATAACAGGTAATACATCATCAGGGTGATTCTGCATAATAGGTTTTGACATTTAACGTAAAATAAGCAGATTTTCAGACCATGTTTAATACATTTACTGGTGCCAAGCTTTCAGAGTTTTCTTCCATAGATGGCAATAGATGCTCTTCTCTTTCTTCATAATTAAGCATCTGCCATGTTGGGTGTCTTTCAGCGATGCAGCTCCTCTTAGACCTCTTAGACCTCTTAGACCTCTTAGCTCTGCTTTTACTAATTTGCTGGACATTTTGCTTGTAAATATTAATATCCTATGACTTGAACCATGGCGAGTGTTTGAATTTTTTGTAATATGCTTTGGGATTTCCTGGGATTTTGTCTTAACCAACCCATGCATCTTTTAGGATCAGTTAAAAGATTGTTACTTGTGATAAGGTTTAATTAGTCAAATAATGGGAACAACATGAGGATGTACATGGGTTAACCTACCAGCTGTTACCTTCAGAAAGTATTTCTGCATTTCTGATAGTGTAAGTTCTCATTGTTTTATTTTTTGTCCCTGTGCATTTTCATATATGCACAAAGTGCACTACAACTGAAAAGCAAGTTTCTCAGACCTGGACAAAATTATCCTGAATCCCATAGGATTAGTTGACAAGAAGACTTGGAATAATAAGAAGTATGGTTCTATAGACATACATATCATTGGAAAAGAAAGAAGTAGCCCAAAACTAAGTTTAGCAATAGCTATATGTGTAACAATAAGGAATGAGAAGTAATTTTCTATATTAGGAGAAGACAGGAACAAAAATTTAAGAATTACCAAAAATATTAACATACTTGACTATATAAAACCTTATATGTAAAAAGGACAAAAACAGAATAAAAAATATTAAGGCTCTGCATTTCATGTTAACTGTATCTTTATTTTCTATAAACCAGTTATTAAATATATGAAAACGTAATAAAAATGAGAAGTATTGTGATCACGCAAATCTTTCCATAAAATACCGAACAAAAGGAAATTGATTTTACCTTTCAAGTGACCAAGAAATCCAAAGAAATTACAGTGAGCTACAACATAATATACCAATTTGGCAAACTTTTGGGGAAAAGTTTTATCTAAATTTGTAAGGCTGCAAGAAAATTTTATGTCTTGCATTGCTGATGACGGGACAAATCAATGCCATCCTATTGTAGTGGAATCCGTGACAGCAGTCCATGAATATGGATTTTTAGGTTAAAAAGTTGACTGGGGGATGGATGCCTGTGGGATTGGCTTGTTTTCAGGCATTTTGGGTTACTCTCATAATTTCAATCTTTAGGAGTATTTACTGTTGAAAAATTAAGTGTCTCTGTATCTATATTATAATCTATATTTCATCACCTTAATTTCTGATGTTCAGATCCTCATTACACTTCTGAAATGAAAGAATAGCACTTGGTTAATTCTTTTCTGATCTCTTGCAATTTTGTAGATTTCTCTGTTAGTCTCATGAATGAAATAAATAAACTACACACCTATTATATATATGTTGTTTTTGTTCACTATCTACAGACATTGATCCTTGTCAACAACAAAATTAGCAAAATCAGCCCTGGAGCATTTACACCTTTGTTGAAATTGGAACGACTTTATCTGTCCAAGAATCATCTGAAGGAATTGCCAGAAAAAATGCCCAAAACTCTTCAGGAGCTGCGTGCTCACGAGAATGAGATCACCAAAGTGCGAAAAGCTGTGTTCAATGGCCTGAACCAGATGATCGTCGTAGGTACAGATATTCTTATAACTCTAAGGCCAGGATTGAAGGTTCACCTTAAAAAATTCCAAGTAAGCTTTAGCTGCAGGAAGAGAAATTAGCTAGAACTGGAATGTCTTTAGCCTATACCAGGAACAGTGGCAAGACCAGCAGAAATGAGATTTTGAATCTGTGCCTTACAATGTTTTTGTTCCTCAATCTTAAGGATCTGGGACTGTGGAGAAAACTGTAGGCCCAAAGTCACCCTCATGTATGGCCAAGATGCAATGGAATGAATGGAATTAAGTAGTAATTAATTAGAGATGTGGGGGGGATACCTTTCCACTGTGGGGATTGTTTCTATTGTGAACATTCATAAATCATTTGTTTTAACAAATGTGTCCTAATCATGATAACAAATGGTGATTTTATGATTGGCTTACAAAATGCTAGTTTCAGATTATTTAGCGTTGTAACTCATCTCAGGAAAGTAATAGCCCCACCATAAGTGTGACTTATAAACACTTGTGTTTGTTGATTTCCGGGCAAACCTATTGCTTTTACCATAAATCTTTGTGTTTTATTGTTGTTGTTTGGTTTTTGTTTGTTTTAATGAGAGAAAATTTTACCTTAGTTTGCCATCTCTATGAAGAGCGTGTTCATTAATTTCTGTTTTGTTTTTCAGTCAAGCTGTTATTGACCCAAATTTCTCTTAAACTCCTTGTTGAAACAGACACGACTCTGATTTGCAATATCCTAATATTGTTCTCTAAGAACTTTGCACTTTTTGCATTTGTAGAACTGGGCACCAACCCGCTGAAGAGCTCGGGAATTGAAAATGGAGCCTTCCAGGGAATGAAGAAGCTGTCCTACATCCGCATTGCCGACACCAATATAACCACCATCCCGCAAGGTGATAGAAAATTCTCCAAAGCAGTTTGAACATCCAAATGTAACAACTTTAACATTCAAGAAAATTGTTTTGGAAATTTAAACGGTGACTGAAGCAGCCAACGTTATTTCCAGTAAATTGTCTACCCTTGTTTCTATTGAGCCTGGACGACCCCTGGGCCATTTAGGCTCATTGTAGAGATGGCGAGACCTATAAAGTCTCTTCTAAGATATAACTTACACATAATGATTTCATATTAAAGAATTGTGAGAGCACAGGGGAAAAAGTACAGTTATTTAAAGAATAGAATCCCTTGCTGGTGTTAAAGGAAAAAAGATACGTGGGAACACCTCAGAAATTGAGCCAACTTTTACTTTGAGTCTCCAATCTTTTAGTGAATTCCTTTCCATCTTACTCTCTGAATAAGAGGATCCATAGTGGCCATTTATATAATAAGTCTTATAGTGTTGTAGACAATATGGATTTTGGTCTATTTGCTTGAGTTCAATTTGTCCCTAACTGGCTCTAAGACCTTGGACAAGTTATTCAATATTTATGCCTTAACTTCTTTATTGGTAAAGTAGTAATAACACCAACATACAACTCATTAGATTGTCTAATGATTAAATAACTAATTAGAAAAATATCAGGCATGTAAATAAATAGTGGATTAATATTACCTTTTATTATTTGTAAAAATGTTTTAACACTCATTTTGCTTAGGCAAAGTACCAAACACTGGAGACAGGGCAGTGAATAGGGTATACTGCCTGCCTTCATGGACCTTATTACCTAGAGCAAAGCCGGAAAATAAATAGCAATCACTACACAGCCATGGGGTTAAGGTCATTGTGCTAAGGGCTACCTGGGAGAGACACATAAGCCATAAAGAAAAGAAATCTAATCACCATAAAGAAATTCCTCTGATTTTCACATTTTACCTGGCTCAGGGTTTTAGTCTTTCAAAAGCCCAGCTGTATTCTCCAAGTTTCCCTCCATCTGGCCCTTTCTCAGCTTAGATATCTTGTTCTTGGACTGGGCACAAAATGTAGGTTCTTGCCCACAGAAAACAATTACCTTTTATTGTGCTTCCACAGAAACGTCAGCTCCTGTGAGTACATATTCCATAGAATGGTTTCTTACTACCCCTTGCTCTCTCCATAGTCTTTTTGCTACAGAAGATGTTTTTATGCCCATAACAGCAACTATTGGTATAGATAGATAATAGATAGATAGATAGATGATAGATATTCATTTATAGTTTATAAAGCACTTTCATATTGAGCCTCCAACTTGTTGCCTGTAACGAGTGTCATTCTTTAAAAAAATATTTATTTATTTTGAGAAAGAGAGTGTGAGAGTGTAAGACAGAGAGGGAGAGGGGCAGAGAGGATCCCAAGCAGGCTTCACGCTCAATGTGGGGCTCGATGCAGGGTTCATTCCCACGACTGTGAGATCATGACCTGAGTGGAAGTCAGATGCTCAACTGACTGAACCACCCAGGCACATCAGTTTTAGTAATATTTTAATTATTTAATTATATTTTTGTATAGAATATATACACATAATTTTGCCTAAGGCCATAGAGCTATAGAAGGCCAAAAAAAAACTGGAACCAGTCTTTGATTTTGCTGTCCTTTTTAATGCATCCTCCAAAATATCTTTCAGTGACACATTTCATCACTTAGGGATCTATATTCCTCACATCTTCTCCCTATTCTATGTACTCTCTTCTCACCATTTCTAGCTTACTTTTATTTATTAAACACTTACTATAAAAATTACAGTAACTAACTTTTGTTCAGCCCTTATTTAGTAGCAGGTATTGTGCCAAATGCTTTTTGTGGATTTTTTCTGTATGAATCTCAAACCATTCCTCTCTAGGAATATTATCATGCCTGATTAATAAATACGGAAAACCAAAGCTTAACGACATGAAGTAAATTGTGACCAAGGTCTTGGAGTTTGGAGGTGGCCAAGCTGGGACTGTGCTGTGCTGATGTCAGAGCCCATGTGCGTGACCACTGTATTCTGCTGCTTACCTAAGTCCTCTCTCTTATGCATATTTATGCTGATGAAATACATGAGTCTGCCTTTCTTAGGCTGGATTCTTACACAAGAACATCAGCTGCCTCTGGGAGGCTTAATGTCCACATTAATGGTCTACCATCACTGATGGAAACACAAGGCCGTGGAATGAAGTGATGAGTTATGGTTTCTCCACTTAGAAAACAGGAGTGAGAGGTCTGGCTCAGCCACTTAGTCTTTCTGTACCTTTAGGCTAGTTGTTACACATCTCTAAAACCTCAGTTTTACTATCTATGGAGGTATTAGTGACACCTATCTTCTAGTATATTTGTGAGGATAGACACAAATAAGACTTGAATGTGCATGCATAGTATCTGGCCCAAGGTAAGCTCTCATATTTACCTTAAAAATGAAAAGGGAAAGGAACAAAAAAAGTAACTAAAGTATAGATTCCTTAGCTAAATGCTACGGTGGCAAAGATTAATGGTATTCTTTGCAAATTTCCCTCTCTCTATCTTATTGCAAAGTTTTCTTCCACAAACTTTCTCCTGGCTATACCTTAACTTTGGGGAAACTGACATTGCAAAAGGGAAGACACTTAGAACCTTGGTAAGAGTTATGGATGTGATGATAATTGTTGTTCTAGAGACACTACATTTTAATACTATCTTTTCATGGTGATAGGGAAGAAAGGATGTGTATTCAATATGGTTCGTTATAAAGTCACTCATTAATTACATATGGGAGTATTTTAAAAATCCACACTTGTGTATTCTAAAGAGACTTGAGTGGTTAGAATCCCTTCTTCCAAGAGTGACTGTGTTTGCATGATATTTAGTCATAAGAACTGTGCAATTGTGATTTTGTTGCCGGACCCCGGAGACTAGGTTCTTGAGTCTCAGTGTCATAGAAATGAACACTTAACTGAAGGGAAAGAGTGTGGGTGGAGTTTATTGGAGATAACTTGTGTACAAGGGAGCCGACAAGAAAGAGAACTGTTGCTCTCTGAAAGGGTATTGTGCAAGACTTGTAAAGGCATTTTTCCTAGGGGAGAGGGGCTAGGATTTGGGAAGCATTCTTCAATCCCACGGTCGTTATCTGCGGTCGTTAGTTTTCAGTGGACAAGAGACAATCCCAGAATGCTTTTCTCTATGGTGGACATTCTTTTAGGGCTCCTGGAAAATAAAAACACTGGTGCAAGCTGGCTTTAAATTGTTACTTCTGATTTTGCCCAGACAACCATTACTCGTAATGACTATTATCTCATTTGTTCGCTTTCCCAGAAGGAGGTATTTGTCTCTAAATATATGGAAACTTTTAACCTTTGCCTCAGACCAGTGGCTTTATGGGAGTTAAGTCCCTCTTGCTTCTCTCATACTGTCTCAACTTCATTTCATTCAGTTAAGAGCAACTATAGTTCAATTTAACTCCCTTTGACTGTCTGGGAACATTTTACCTTCCCTACGTAGCAGCTAGATAGTCTCCACATTTGTAACTTTGAGTCTCTGTTTCTTCGTCTATGAACAGGGATTAACAAAAAATAGTTTGTAAACTGAAACAAGGAAATGAGCTAAGTTAGGGAAAGTGCCAGTATCAGTGTTGACCACATTTCAGACTTGCAGGGAGTAGAAATTCCTTCCTTAGCAGCTCCCACACAAAACATAGAGAAACTAATACTAACGTCAAATCAAATATGGACTAAACTTTTACATTAAATAGACAGTACTGATAGAATTCACTGACACGCAATGACAATTTCATGCCGAACATAACCTGCAGTTTTCCAATTTTGTTCTTTATGGACAAATAACCGACACTCTCTGCTAAGCAGATGTTAGTTCTACATGTAACCAATTTGCTCTTTTCTTTGTGGTTGGTGCTATTCTTGTAAGTGGAACAATATGCCCTTTAAAAAGCTGTATAAAAGCATAATGCATCCTCAGATGGCAGGAGGAAATGAAAATAAAATATTTAAACTTTTATATTAATATTACTAAATTTTTAGAAGTCATAGCCTTTCAAGAAGCACTATCCAGAGGTTTTGTGGATACTTTGGATCTGAAATTATTTCCCCAGGTGTTCTACATATGGCAGGTCGCTTGATTATAGGCCTGCACATTCCTCTTGTGTAGGGGAACAGTCTTGATTTGAAAGGTCCAAGTAATCTTTAGCTCTTTGGACACATCCGTGTTGCAGAGGAATTTGATGTTGGGTTTGTTTTTGCATTTGATTTATTTAAAAGTTTTTCTTGTTTCTTTTTTTTATTTTTGAGAGACAGAGAGAGATAGAGCATGAGTGGGGGAGGGACAGAGGGAAACACAGAATCCGAAGCAGGCTCCAGGCTCCGAGCTGTCAGCACAGAGCCCAACGTGGGGCTCGAACCCATGAAACCGTGAGATCATGACTTGAGCTGAAGTCAGACGCTTAAACCTACTGAGCCACCCAGGCGTCCCATGTGTTTGAATTTTAATGCAGAAAAGCTGATTAAGACTGAAGCCAGCACAGTATATCAGCGTCAATTATTAATAATGCCCATGAATGAGATACTTAGTTAAATTTGCCTATAGGTTTAACTTATACACGATCTCTTTATTATAGCTTAAATGCTATAATAAAGCATATAATAAAGAGTTGTCATCTTTTATCCACGGTAGTGTTAACTCATTAACAGAGGTGTAAGAAACTAATGAGATTCAGGGTTTGACCTCAGTTCTACAATTGTATCCTAAGAATTCCTGAGACAAAAATCTACTATGTTGGAAACCACAGTCCATGTTTTTGTTTAAAATCGAACTACGAGAAAAGGAAAAAGCCCCTGTACTACTTCTAGAAGTGTATATTGTTACGAAGGGGATGAAGAAAAAAGATAAAAATCAAAACCAATGAAAATAATGTAAAGCAAATCCTTTGACACTCTGTCTTTTAGAAAATTGGTGGCCTTTGTCTTCATTAAGTCTTTACATCCCATCATTACGTTTATCTGCTAATGTAACATTTTGTTTTTCTGTATTCCAGGTCTTCCTCCTTCCCTTACTGAATTACATCTTGAAGGCAACAAAATCTCCAAAGTTGATGCAGCTAGCCTGAAAGGACTGAATAATTTGGCTAAGTAATAATATTCTTTCATAACCTTATGTCTGTAAAATGGCTAGATGTATAGGTGCCCACATGCTCAGAACTAGAAATGCCACGGGCAATTTCTGACCATACCACATTTTTTGCTGTTGGTCCCAACAATCTCAGACCTCAGCATGCTCAATTATTTCTTTAAAAAGCCATGAAATAGCATACTTAGCATAACCATGACATATCTCATGTACAATGTACCTGATTAAATCAACATGCTTATTCAGTAGGTTCTAACTTAATTGAATTCAACAGAAGGTTGATTACGTTATAACCCAGTGTTCAGAATTTGAAAATGCCTTAAAATGAAAGCTACCAGGACATGGAAATACTGGGCATCCCACACCATTGTATCTGGATGATTATGATGAGATCCTCATATCTCTATTCTCTGAAGAGTTTAAAATGTCTCTGGACATTTAATGTAGTCTTACAAAAGTCATTGGGTTGTTTGTGTGTGTGTGTGTGTGTGTGTGTGTGTGTGTGTGTGTGTGTTTCTGGGCCTTGTTAACTTTTTTTTTTTTTTCTGATAGATAATCATTAGTTCCTTTCCTGACTTCTAGCCTAACTTTAATCTTTTTACATTTGCAATCTGGTTAAGTAATAAAAAGAGGAGAAGGCTTGCAAACTATTTGCTTTATCTTCAAAAAACACTGTGCTCTTGAACTGTATTGCTGAATGTTCTTACAAAGGAGCGTAGTGTTATGCCAAATTGACTCACTTCTCTTTTTTTCTTTATAAATTTTATGGGAGACAAATAAAGTATATCATTTATCCTTGAGAAATAGCTAAGACAAGATGATATATAACACAGCTTTTCCCATTTCTGTGGATATTCCCCAGTGAGCTGGTGGGTGGTGAGAGCTGAAGGTGAGCATATGGATGTGACTATAACACAGTGTATTACCCTAAGTCTCAGACGAGAAGAAATCTAAAGTTATTTTCATTACAGCCTCTAATATAGAAAATATATTTTGAAATAGCATTGTGCATCACTGACCTTTTTTTGTTGATTTGGCCCCTCTAGCTGCAGAAAAATGTAGGAAGATCAGTTGCATTGCCTATTGTATAGAACTGTCTTTAGGACAGCTGTTAGTGGTAGCAGTGGTAGAGATGTACAATAGTCTAATTCCAAATATGATAAGCCACTAATAATATCTGTGCCTTTTTGGAATAAAAGTTTATTTTATACTGAAAGTGGTATGGAATTTGTTTTTAATCCCATTCATTAAATTGGAGCAGATTGACCCATTGGCCAAGCAGATTTTTCCAATTCTTCAATTTATCAGACAAATTTCTTTTTGGAATCAAGTCCAGAAAAACATGTCTATGAAACCATCAAATCCTCATGTTGTTTACTCTTCACCGGTGTTGGGGCATGAGAAGTATTTTGGTATTGAAAATCAAAACTGGGAAAAGAAGAAAAAAAGCAGCCACTGATCTCAGAACGTTGTGGGGCAAATATTCCAATTAGTTATTAGGAACATGTGGGGAGAAATAGTATATGCCTCTCTCCAAAAATATAAGATGGTTTTGGGGCACACTTTCCTTTTTGTTATATACATATACATATATCATCATCTCCCTTATTTGATGAAATACTCTTCAATGGAAGGAATCATTGTTTTTGAGCCATGTGCCCTCTGCTTTCATAAGGCTAGAATAATATCTTGAACATAACATGTCCTCAAAAATATTTATTGATTGAACATATAAATAAATCACCATAAAATTGAAGTTTCTTTGAATCAGTTATTAAGAATATTATATTCTAAGAATGTATTAGCCCAAAATTGGATATGGGATTTGGAGTGTTTTAAGAAATAGGAGACATGACTCTGTGATAGAAGAGACAAGATCAGAAACAAGAAATAAATGTCTAAGACTGGGGAGGGTGGGGTGGTGGGGAAACAACGTGTTCTCTGCCAAGATGCCAGGTTAATAATCAATAGCTAAGATAAATCCACTGTTTTATTAATAGCTTAAAATTAACATACTATAATCTCAGTTATTTCAAATACCAAGTCATGATGAAAACTGAGAGACTTGGGTTACATAAACCAGAATCTAAATCTCAGAAGGGCTCAAAAATCAGAACTAGCTGAAGGCAAGCTAAAACGATCCTACAGAAAGTTCCCAAGCCTATTCCACATCATGTGAAGGAGCCCAATAGACTCCTCCTCTTTCTCTCCCTTTGAGTTTGCTGGTTCTCTTTCATTACCTTGTTGCCTCATCCCAGGTATCTCCTCTCTGCCCTTTAGGATTGACAGCACCCTAGTTTGACAGAGTCATTCATCTGTAGAATGCCAAATACATCAACCTTGTCTCCATGTTAACCTCTTCTGACTTTTGAATCCCATTTACTAGGAAGGGACCGCACGGCTGCAGAACTTTCACTTGTTATGCACTTAATTTAAAAAATGCAGCCCAAAACTTTGAGTGGTATTGTAGAAGAAATGTTAAAGGGCCAAGAAACAGACATGTAGGTCAGAGGTCAGGGTCAGAAGCCAGGAATGCTGGCACCAGGCAATTTCTGATAGTAGCAGATGATCACTGATAAACTCAAACGAAAGCAAAATGCTAATTCTGTTAACCTTCCTGGCAGATATGTTTACTGATTCATTGGAACCTTCTACCTTTTATTTCCAATGAAGAAATGTATATAATAAATATACAATTGTTTGATTTCTAAAGTGACCCAAATGACAATAGTACTCCTTTGAGTATTCTACGGAGTGAATTCATTATATGTATCATACATAGAAATCAATTCAGCAGCGACTCATTGATCATAAGAAGTTTTCTGTTAGGACTGGATATGCTGCAAAACAGTCACTTTTCTCTAGGAGATACCACAAGTACACAGTCCCTTGAATTTTTTAAGAGGGTGCTAACAGGATGCTATAGGAGCATTTACTAGGGGTACCTATCTAGTTTGGTAGGATCAGACGAGTTTCAAAGAGAGTAAGTTGGGGCGCCTGGGTGGTTTAGTCAGTTAAACCCAAGACTCTTGATTTCAGCTCAGGTCATGGTCTTTGGTTCGGAGCCTAAGGTTGGGCTCTGCACTGACAGTGCAGAGCCTGTTTGGGATTCTCTCTCTCTCTCTCTCTCTCTCTCTCTCTCTCTCTCTCTCTGTCCCTCCCCTGCTTGCACGCATGTGCTTTTGCTCTCTTTCTCTCAAAATAAATAAACATTTAAAAAAAGAGAGAAAGTGACTCTATGGTGGGAACTTTGGAACAAATGGGCTTTATGTAGGCTCAGCAAGGTTGGAAAAAAATACTCTAAGCAAAGGGAACAGTAAATGCAAAAACAAAGAACGTCCTTGCTGTTGACTTGATAAATCACACAGCACCTGTGAAGAAAGCATCCATGTGTCCTGAGCAGAGGACATGCATTCATTTGCGCTTCCTTTTGCAGGTTGGGACTGAGTTTTAACAGCATCTCTGCTATTGACAATGGCACTCTGGCCAACACTCCTCATTTGAGGGAGCTTCACTTGGACAACAATAAGCTTATCAGAGTACCTGGTGGGCTGGCGGAGCACAAATACATCCAGGTAATGCAACACCACTAAACCTGTAAGGGGTCTCTAGGGAGCAAACCCTCCCTACTGGGATGCTAGGAGGCAGGTAGCTCTGCCTGGCAATATTTTTGCAGAAAGATATTTTTCATGTTTCCACATCAGTATTCATTCTGGTTTCCTGAAAAATACAGGCTTGAATTATTATTTTTTTAATAAGACTATTACCTTAACCTTATTATAATGCTATCTTCTAGAACAGAGTATGTTTTAGGAAGCAGGCAAGGTAGTTTCAAGCCATAGATCAGTGTAACAAAAACATATTGGTTGAAGAAGATGAGATCATTTGTGATGAATAGATATGGAATAAAAGAGAAGTTTTAAATTTTAGCTTTAGCAGATGCAAGCTGGTCAAAAGGAATGTTCTGTGACTGAGTTAACTTCATGTCAGTTATCAAGCTATATATAGTACATGCATAAGGATAAGAAGATATGGTCCAATGGCCCATGGTGATAATAGAGCTTTGTAGTCTGTAAACCTATAAATGTAAGGCATGCTCATCAGTTTAAATAGTGATAATATTTTTTTTCACATATAACAAAATAATATTTCCACTGTTACTCAGGAAATTGCACAAATATGTTATTCAAATTTTATATTCAGAAGTTAATGTGGCTATTCATAGATTTTATGTATTGGCTTATTTTATCTAATTTTTCAGCTTCTACAAAGGTCAGATTTAAATTGCTTCTGTCAGATACTTACCTAGGTACTTAGTTGAACCATGATGATTCAGAAATTATATCTTGACATTGATGCTCTATTATAGATAAAACCTTTTTATAAAGTTGCCATTTTGGTAATCTAGTATCTCAACTTTTTTGCTTGTGGTTCAAGATAGGTTTATCCCTTACTCTGCCGTCAGTTCTGTCAAAATGTGATGGACGTGTTTTTTTTTTTTATTGGTTTGTGACAAAAACTCCAAGCAAAATAGCTATAAGGATTCACGTTAGCTAGATTTCAATAAAGTATCTGAATTATAAGTACAAAGATGACACTTGAAAACATTGTATTTCACGCTGATTCTTTTTTAGTGGGTCTTTGATGGTGATAGGATAATGAGTAAGCAGATCTGAAGGCACAAGCAAAAGCAAGACACTTAGAAGACCAAGTAATAGCTACCATTGTTACTATTGAGATTTCTGTTGGTGGTGGGCATTTTTGGGGGGCTGCGGGGATTGGTTTGTTTTCATTTTTATATCCCAGAATAATCCGTTTTATCTTCTTGATTGCCATTTTTCAAATTTCAGTCTGGACATACTATTGAGTTCATAAAATAAGTTTGATGAGTTAATTAACATGTATGGGATAAGAAAGGATAGGATAGGATGCATGGAAAGAAAATATCACTGTAATGGTAAGGATTTCATAAAAATGTTGTTTAAATGCAAAGTTACATATACACTAAACCTTAGTGTATGAGTTCTTATTGTGAGTCACAGAGAAAAATTTATAAAACATGCTATTTTGAAATCTTTGTTGAATGTCAGCAAATCTCATGGGCATTCACACAGGGTCTCACGTTCAGAAGGGTCTCATTCTTGGTTTTTCATCTCTAATTGGCTATCCGTGCACCCATTTCACATCCCTTCTTATAGGCTCTTAGAGATTTCACCCATATCACTGCCTTTTTCATAAGCATATAACTCAGTTATTTTTAGCAAAATTATATAGTTGTTCAACTGTCACCACAATCCAGTTCTAGCACTTATGTTACCCCCAAATATTCCTCATATCCATTTCTGGTCAATTTTCAATCTCATCCCCTTTCACAGGAAATCATTAATCTACTTTATACCTCCGTGGATTTGCCTTTCCTGGACATTTCATATAAATAGAATGACTTATTGTAATGATTTTAGTCACCCATAACAACATGTATCAGTAATTCTTCCATTTTTATCAGTGAATAACATTCCATTGTATGGATATACCACATTTTGCTTGCTAGCACTATGCTTTTTGATTACTATAGCCTTTGGTTGTGTTTTGAAGTTGGGAGTGAAGGTCTTTTAACATTGTTCTTATTTTTCAAAAATAAGAACTGTTCTTGTTTCTTTGCGTTTTCATATAAATTTTAGAATCAGCTTTTAATTTTTGCAAAAATAGCCTGCAAAATAGGGATTGTGTTGAATCTATAGATCAATTAGGGGTGAATTGTCATCTGAACAATATTGAGTCCTCTAATTCATAAACATGGAATATCTCTCTATTTCATATTATTTAACTTCTCACAGCAATGTTTTGTCATTTTTAGTATACATGTCTCACAATTATCTAAGTTTATTGTCATTTTCTTTATTATTTTTGATGCTGTTGTGAATGGTTACGTTAATTTCATTTTTGCATTTTTTTTGCTAGTACAGTAAAACCTTGGTTTGTGAGTATAATTCATTCCAGAAACATGCTTGTAATCCAGATTAATCAAAGTTAATTTCAAGAACAATTGGCTCAGTTGTGACCATGTGACATTTGTCATCACATACTACTCGTATTGCAAGACATCATCGCTCATTTATCAAGTTAAAATGTATTAGAAGCATTGGCTAATCTTGCAGAACACTCGCAGAGCAAGTTACTTGCAATCCAAGGTTTTACTGTATGTGTAAATATAATTAATTTTTGTTTATTGATCTTCTATCCTGGTACTGTGCTGAAATTTTTTAGTTGCAGAAGTCTTTGTGCACGTCTTTGGATATTCTGTATTTGGGATCATGTCATTTGTAAATAAATACAGTTTTAGTTATTCTTTTCCTATCTGAATTATTTTCATTTATTTTTCTTGCTTCATTGCACTGGCTAGAATCTCCAGTACAATATTGAATAGAAGTGATGAAATTAGACATCTTTGGCTTGTTTTCTATTTTAAGAGAGGGTGGACATTCAAGTTTTTACCATTCAGTGTGATGTTAGCTACAGGTCTTTTGTAGATGCTCTTTGTCAAGTTAAGAAGATACTTTTATTAGTTTATTGAAAGTTTTTGTAGTGAATTTTTCAGATGCTTTTTCTGTGTCTGTTGAGATGATCATGTGGTTTGGTTGTTTATTCTTTTAATAGAGTAAATTAAATTAATTAATTTCCAGTTAAAGCAATTTTACATCCCTGAGATAAATTATGCTTCATCTTGGTCATGGTGTATAATCTTTTTATATTTTGTGAGATACAGTTTCCTAATATTTTGTTAAAGTTCTTTATCTATGCTAATATGAAATATTTGCAGGTAGGTTGTGTGTGTGTGTGTGTGTGTGTGAGAGAGAGATGATGATGATGATGATGAACATGATTTTTGCCTGGTTTTAATAATAGAAAATAATGACCTTATAAAATGAGTTGAGAATCTAATTTTCTTTTTTACACAGACTAATACTTGGTTTATGTCTTGACATTTTCTTCTCTCACCTTCAGTATTAGCCCTAAATTCTAACCAAACATGTGCCCCCTTTATTGCTAGTCACTGCCAGGAAATAGAGAATGGCAAATGAAAAGAAATTTTCAAAGTTTGAAAGTTATAAAAAAATACTTATAGCTGTTGTTTGGCTTTAATATCACTTGTTTCTGTTTTTATTGTTTTCCTTCTAAAACCTTTCTTAAACAAGGCCTTTTTCACCTGCATATAAGTAGGAGTGTTCTGGGTTAATTATTTTAAGGAAGCATCTCATAGGCTTTATAACACCCTTTAGAAACTGTCACATTACTATACTATTATATTTTAATTTAGGTTGTATGATAAGTCACTTCTCACTCTTCAGAAATCACATCTACATGAAAACCCATTTCTAAAGCCCTTTCATAAGTCTAATATTTAATATCCCTGAGAAAAATCTATGAACAAGTTACCATTATCTTAAACATAAGCATAAAATACATTTCAGAAAAAATTCTAATGAACTATAGAATTCTATTCATAAGATAGAATTTGTAACATGGAATAAATTTTTATTAAAGATTTCTAGGTCTGGGGTGTCTGGGTGGCTCAGTCATTTGAGTGTCTGACTCTTGATTTGGGCTTAGATCATGATCTTGCAGTTCATGAATTTGAGCCCCACATCAGGCTCAGTGCTGACAGTGTGGAGCCTGCTTGGGATTCTCTTTCTCCCTGTCTCTCCGCCCCTTCCCTGCATGCTCTCTGTATCTCTCTCAAAATAAATAAATAAACTTAAAAAAAACTTTCTAGGTCTATTCATTCCAAATGCTATGGCACTCAAGTGTTTCTTAGATTTTGTGATTATTTTGATTCAAATACTATGCACACTCTTCTTGTTCATTATATATTACTTCCTCATTCTGCATAATCTTGTTCAAAGGTCCCTCATTTTATCTTTGCCTTGAAAACAGCCCATGTAGACACAATTTATGCAATAACATAAATTTATTCATGTATTCACTTAATGTATATTTATTGGACACCTACTGTGTTTAATAGACACTGAAGATACAGTCATGAACAAAACAAAACAAGTTTCCTTCCTCATGGAGCGTTTATTCTAGAGAAGGAAAACAGGTGAAACAAACAAACAAATATATAATATGCTGTATAGTGATAATTACTGTGAAGATTTAAAGTAGTGTGACTGGGATGGAGAATGAATGGCAGCATTGGATAGTCAGGGAAGACATCTCTGGTAAGGAGAAGTTACATAAACTACGTGAAAGAGTAAGCCTTGTAGATATCGTGGAGAAGATAAGGCCAGGTAGAAGAAACAATGTGTGCCAACCTAAGGAAGGACCTTGATCTTTGTAATAGAGGAAAAGCAAGTAGGCCAGTTAGATTGAATAGTGAGGGGAGATGAGGTCAGAGCAGAAGGATGGCAGACCATGTTGGATTTGTGGGTCATTGTGAGAACGTTGGACTTTATTCTGCATGAAATGGGAAGCCATTGGAGTGTTGAGGCAAAGAATATATAACTTGGCTCAATTTTTTAAATAATTGTTCTATGAGCTAACTTACAGGGTTACAGAAAATAAAAAAGAAAAAGGAAGGAAGGAGGGAGGGAGGGGAAGAAGGAAGGAAGGAAGGAGAGAAGGAAGGAAGGAAGGAAGGGAAACTGATTTCAGAGCAAAAGAGGAAGCAGGAAAGACAACAATAAAGGCAGCTTGAATCATCCAGGAGGAGATAATGGCAGTTTTGGACAATGTTGTAGAAGTTGATGTGGGGATAAGGACTGGGTTCTGGGTACATTTTGAAGATCAAGCTAGCAGCATTTGTTGATGGTTGGGCAGAAAGTGTAAGAGAAAGGATGGGTCTAGGATAAAGAGTAAATAATAAAAGAAAAAGAATAAGGTATTTGCATGAATGGCTTAGTATATTTAGAGGAAAATAATCATTCTCCATTATTTCATTTGCAGGTTGTCTACCTTCATAACAACAATATCTCTGCAGTTGGGTCTAACGACTTCTGCCCACCTGGATACAACACCAAAAAGGCTTCTTATTCAGGTGTGAGCCTTTTCAGCAACCCAGTCCAGTACTGGGAGATCCAACCATCCACCTTCCGATGTGTCTATGTGCGTTCTGCCATCCAGCTTGGAAATTATAAATAACTCCCAAGAAAGCCCTCGTTTTCATAACCTGGCAAAATCCCATTAATATCATTGCTCA